CTTATGGGCACTCCCTAAATCAACCTACAAAAGTACTCTCCACTGGCATATCTAAGGACTCTCAGTTTTAAGGACTTCTGATATTTTACATAAGAGGAAACTAATAATTGCTCAGGCCTTAGAAGTCCCTTTCTGACCTTTGAATCTTTAATACGAATGTTAATACTCTTGAGGTTCATGGCATGTTTTTTGGGATATTTCAGTGATTGATGAACAGTTTAATACAGTGTTCCTGAATAAGCTAAAAATTACTAACATAAAATAATCTTTTCTTTTAAACAAAGACCCACTAGTTCTTCCTGACTTTCTTTTCCTAAATTTTAAGTTACTTAAACTGGGCTTCCATAATAAAATGTAAGGATTCAGTTTGAAGCAATACTGTCTTCTGATGTGCTAACTGAGATAATTTGAAAAACTGTTAATTATTCGAGATACATGCTTTGAATTTCTCAGTCTGGGATTCCCATAGCAATAGAGTCTTGTTTTTAATTTTCATTTCAGCAGACTCTTCATTTTTATGCTATCCTTGCTTTTCTCATTTCCTACAAATTATTTTGGGAGATACTTCGAGAGGTAGCACTTTGAATAGATCTCTGTACACCTGTACTTTTGCAGGTGTAAAGAATCCCATAGGATTTTTTCTCCTTCAAAATCAGGTGGATTATCTTGCTGTAAAGAGATGCAAATATCTTTCTTTATAAATATAAGATACGTAAATACAAGTATGAGATCTATATGAGGTATATTTATGTTTGCATAGATATCTCACACAGGTGTTTTTATATACATGTGGAAGATATAACTTCAAATGCAGCCACCGTTTTTGTGAGAGCAAAATCGGAGGCTGGATTAAGTTCTCAAAGGAGTGGTGTTGAATAGGTAATCCAAGCATTTCTTTCTATCATGAAACAAAGATAACCAGAAAGGTTGGTGGAGAAAACCGTGAAGCTATTTGCTCTTGTTTGAAAAATTCTTGATTAAAGGGTAGAAGTTTGAGAACAGTTTGTGCCAACTGAGCTTGTCTCACCTTAGTTAGACACGGTTTTTCTTTTCCATTTGTGGGCAAAAGAAAATGATGGTTTTGGTTTGTGTTTTTTCTTGTATAGCTCTGTGGAACAGTGGTAACACGTACTGGAAACATTAAGGGGTAAGTAATAAGTTTTTTAAGTCAATTCTAGGCCAGAAGGCTGCTCTGCTTTCTGTAACATCAGTGCTGTAAGGTTTAAAAATAAAAAATAAAAAAATTATTGAACCATATTGATGTTCATACGAAAATCTATGCCTTCATTCTGCTTAAATTACATTATAATTCTGTCTTCATCACATTTTCCTAAATTGTTTTTGTGATTATTTCCAGGCTATATAAATGAGGCTCAAGATTCTTCTACGGGAACGTATCATTATTCTTCCAAGTGTATTGGCATTTGCATTCATCTTCCAAATCCTGAGCCACTTGTTTTATGTCACCCGTACTGTAAATCCCAAATGTACTATTGAATGTTATGCCATAAACTACTGTACAGAATATTTTGCGATCAGGGCACTGCCTCTCAAATACCACTGTTCAAGGCTTGAATTAAAATGTTTTTTGTTTTTTACTTTTTTACACTGGGCTTTCTACCTTACATCACAGTATATAAATTAATTAGATTAACAGCCTTTGCCTAGCAATCCTCTGACAATTGGTCAAGTTCTTATCTTAAATTGTTGATTTGTGTTAAATACAGTACATACACGTTTACATGAAAATACATTTTGTATACAGACACTTTTGTATATACATTTTTCTTAAAACTTACAAGTATTTAGTTAAGATTTTAATATTGTATAATACTCTTCACAAATGAATATACCAGCATGATCAGTGTTGCTATTTGGTGCTCTTGAATGACCACTTTGGACTAAATTTGAAGTATAATGGGATCCACAGTGTCTCCTTGTGTCTCTGAAAAGTTGAGTTACAGTTTTGTTTTCTCCCTCTTTTTTTAATTATTTAATATTTAGTGGGTTTTGCAGTATAGACCTAAAAGGGACTTTTTGGAGAAGTTTGTTTTGAAACTCTTTGGGTGGGAGGGTTGGGAGTGTGTGTGATGCGTAATATAGCGAAAAAGCTAAGCTTTCTAGAGTTCAGTAGTACTCAAAAAGAGCATGAGAGATGTCATATGTTGGTGATTTTTAGAATGCTTTACTTTCTCTGTCTCCCTCTTCCTCATTCACACTCACTTCTGTAATGTCCTTAATAGTATCACTGTTAAGCTGTGGCTCTTTCAGAGGGCAGTGATACTACTTTTGCTAAATAATTTCAAAATATGATTTCCAATATTGAAATTAAAATGTGTTTAGCAGTTGGAGTTAACATTTATACTGTTAGAGTTATTGCCTTGAATTTAGGCATACTGTTGTATTGCTGAATTAGTTAACAGCAGAATTCATCAACAAGGCCAAAAGTATCTATGTTACTAGAAACATACTAGTTTCGGTGGGTGAAGTAATTGGGTATATTGAGCTAAAATAGTGTCTCTTCATATATCAGTATTGTTAAATTTGTTTCCACCAAGGTTTATTGGCTCGAAGTAGAGATGATTCTGTAAATCATTCATATAATTTTAAAGAAATGCTGAAATGTGATACCAGTCTTCAATCTGGAATAACCTTAACTGTTTCATTTTTAGGTCATAAGTGGAAACATTTCTAATTGGCAGTATGTAGCATATGTGTATATGTAATGTTTAGAACTGCAGATTTTTAAAAGTTTCTATTTTTAATTTGAGAAAATGTTCCCAGTTCATTTAAATAAAAAAGAACTTGCTTAACTACCTGATGTTTGATTCTCAATTGTTTTGTTGTGTAGACCTGTCTCAGAAGAGTTGCACTGACTTAAAATGTTATGAAAATGAATTTTTTTAACCTGATTAAAAATTTCTGCTGTATTTGACTTTTATTGATGACCTCAGCTTAAGCAAGATAAGAGACCAAGAACTGGAGCAGGAAGGACTTGCAAGAATATTGACTCTGGCTGAGGGAGCTTCCAACTTCCACAAAGGATGTGATTTATGCAAAGATGGTAGGATTTGAGCTATTGAGCTGTGGAAGATACCCACATACCCTGCAAGTGCTCAAGGTGTTACCGCTTGCCTCTGTTGTTGTTTCTGTAGCACTGACAGCAGAATTAAATGTTTGCCAGTTCTTCAGCTCCCATAGTTCACTGCTGGCGTCCTAGCTTAACTTGTAAAAGGACAATTGTTTTCCGCTCATATAACAGACCGTGAGCTGTTTCATCTGAAGCACAGGCAGGCAGAGGACACAAATGTCAGGTGGGAGTGAGATAAACACTTGGCAGTCACATACTAACTGTAATACATAAATATACCAGAGCTCTTGAGTCCAAGCTTTGGTATTTATCCTTATCCTTGTAGTCTGATTGTTTTCATGATTACATTTTAAAAACTTTCAGAACAATAGATCTGAAACTGGTATAAAGTAACTTTTAAGTAGTTTTGAACTCTCTAACAATTATTAGAACAAGAAAGATGAATGCCTTTAGTTTCTAATCTAGGAACTGTCAGTGCTGTTGTGCAAAACCAAGTGTAAATAATACATGTGTTTGTCAAATATTAGGAGGTCTTTGAGTGCTTGCAGTAGGGATTTGAAATCCTTGAAATAAAGGTGAGGTGGGCAACAAGATTCTTCTGGCTGGATGGATGACAAGTGAGAAGACTCCCCAGAAAACAACAGAAGAGGGAATTGTAAAGCTTAGGTAGGCTTGTACCATTGCTGTTTCTCCTAAGACTTGACTGGGGAGCCACACCACTGTGCTTTGAAACAGACAGTCAGGAGGAACAATGGCAAGAAACTAGAAATGAGGCCTCTACTAAAAATGTTGCTAAAATAGCCTTAGAGAGGGGATGAAAAGAAAACAATGTTGTTCTCTCTGTCAAATGGTATTTAGTCATGGGGAACTTCATGACACATTCACTGGAAGAACAAGGTTCAGGCTACCCAGAATGGCTGTTTCAGGTGGCTTTATCTTCAAGCAGACAGCTCTCAGACTAGCTGGGGTGCCACAGCAAGCTACGGACTCTATTGTCAAGTATTAGAGAAGCATTTTTTCCGATTTTATTTTTTTGTTCTGCTTCACTGTCTGTGTTAAATGAATGTTTTTGCCTTGGTAATTTCTTTAGTGATACCTATTGAGTGGCTAGATACACAAAATGGTATTCTATTCCATTATGTATGGCCATTCTTAAACCTAGGGTTTCTAGCACCCCACAGTTGTTCAAGCATACCTAAATAATACAATACCCCTTCCAGAAGCTGTTCAGGTCAGGCTGGCTGTTCAGGTCATGTCTTTGAAAGAAATGCCTAGTGGGGTCTTACTAGCCAGAAGAGTACTGTGGCTTGCAACAGCATGGGAGGCATTTTTCCTCGTGACCTCCTGAATGCCAAGGGAGTTACCATGATTTTCCTTAGCTCTGCTTTTAGTTACTGCAGCAGAAACTGCTAGTACAGGATTCTGCATGAAAATATTTCTGTTATCTTGCCTTTGTTTTATGGCATTTGTACAGCTCATTTATTATGAACAGGAAAATATCTATTAAGAAAAAAAAGTGAAAGGTAATAAAGCACAAATATCTGTCTGACATGCTCTGGGGTCTATTCCCTGCTGCTGAGACCCATGATAAGCTAGTTCTGTTGCCTTGCTCTGTTGGCTGAAAATAACCCATGGTGTGACAGCAATGATAAAACTTCCAAATGTTCGGTTTATGTTTAGGCCTGTAATACCTTCTTTTGCTAAAGCTTTATTCCTTATCTCGCTTAAATATTGCAGGTCTAAAAATCTTTCATGGCTCAAAGAACTAGCAGTTGATTCTTCCATGTGTCCCCAGTGCATATCGTGCTGACAAAATGAAGTACTGAAGTTGCATCCTTACTGTGCAAATCCACAGAAAACCCATTTCACAAATCAGCCTTTATTAGGAGACATTTATAATCATCCAGATGTAGCTGCATAGATTGCTTTGGCACTTTTAACTTTTTTTACTTGAATATGGTCTTACAAGCTCTGGCATGAAGATAGCTATAAAGCAGCTGGAGAATGGAAAATATCTGTTAAAAATCAAATATGACATGTTCATCCTGGATAGGAATGTGCTTCTCGGTTATACAACTATCGTTCTGTATTTAACTGCATTTACAAGATTTGTCTTGTTACCTTCTTGGGAGTTCATAGGTTATTTGACACTCCCTCAGGCTATAAATTATGGGCACATGCCTACTGAAGTGTGATTTATTATTTTTATAAAAAAAAAGAAAACAACTTACATCCCACGTTTCACTGGAAAGAGGTTTCTTTGTGCACGAAGCCTTTAAATTGTGAGCAGCCACTTACTTATTGCTTTTACTTTTTCAGATCGTGTTGCTTAAGGATCTCAGTCAACTCCTCTCAGCATGAAGAGTTTTGCTCTTTTCCTAGTAGTGATCTGTGGCATGGGAGGATTGGGACAGAAGCTGAAGCCAAAGAAAAGAAGCAATGGTGAAGAAATCAATTTTCGGACTAAAACCAAAGATGTTTGCACAATGCGCATGAATGGGGATGAGGAGATGAAACTTAGAATTGAATGCAAAAGCCAAGGCATGTCCTACTGGTGTGAATTCACTGGCAAGCCATCAGTCTGTCGTGCTTTCAGAAACAATCCAAAGATTTACTGGAATCAGATCGCCATGGAACTTAGAAAGCTCCCACACGCTTGTGAATCCACACAAGTGTTGAAGATCACCATGTGCCAAAAGGCTCCCACAGAGGCTCTCATGAAGCAAATAGCTGCTGGTATGGAGCCAGAAGATCTAGCAAACCAGGACAAATCACTCCAGAAAACTTCCACTTCTATGAGGGGAGCGGGGGAAAGCTCTGTTAAGAAAATAGGGAAACCTCCAATACTACCTCTTATAAAACCAACCCAACATGGTCAAGGGTCCGAAAATGAAACGGAAGCAATGAAACTGGCACGGGAACATTGCTGGGAATCCCTGCATGGTTTCTGCTCCTACATTATTGGCATCTTTAGAGGTTAAGGATTTGCTTCAGGTAAAACTCCCATCTTGAAGCACAGCAGAATATACCTAAGAGTAATCCTGTTGTAGTTTTGTTTTATTTTGATCTTGGGGGTCTCTCAGGGGTGTGGACATGGAGGTTCTAGGCTTGCTCACTAAAATCTAGCGTGGCAAAGTCTGTACTGTGGTTTCTGAGGGGCTGCACAGCTTAAACTCCCAGTGATGGCTACTAGTTCAGGACTCCCTGACAGCCTCCTGTGAGGTCTTTAGTGTGTACTGAGATGTTTGTCCTATCTGTTATTAATCCTATGGTATTTCAGTTCTAACTGTTTGAATTGAATTGGGCTTCTTTTCTGCCTTCTGTCATTCCTTCCCTCTTGTGCTGACTTTTGGATTTAAGCCAGTGAAATAGGATGAATAACAAATGCAACAGCTAGAACAATTTAAAACTACATTCAGAAATTGAGAGGATAAAGCTTGTTCATCAAAACTACTAGTTAATAATTAACCATTTTAATTTTAAGAATTGGTTCATAAACAACTTGCAGAAATGAGTAAAACCAAACGGACTGTCTTGGATTACGGATTGGGTTTTGTAGAGGTGATAGGGGATCGCATGCAAGCGCTTGTCTGGTAAGTCTCAGGTTTTCAGCCAGGCTTTAAAAAGACAAAGCCCTCGCAGAAGTGATTGGTTTTATACCCAGTTCCATGTCGGCTCAGAGAGAAAGCCAGGAGCCAGTGACTAAACCAGGCAAACTTTTGACAGAAATGGGAATATATGCAGCATGAGCCAGCAAGTGTTCAGGCTGCTAATGATCTTACTTGTGCTTAATACAGCAACGTGACTAACTTTTTTTTCTTTTTTGTTTTGCAGAGCAAAATTTTTACAGCTGAAGAGGGGTCCTTGCTGTAGTTTAATAATTTAGACGTAAGAATTTTGGTTTAAAAATGAGTCATCTCTTATAAATCTTGTAGCTGTTTTCTCTTTGCTCCCCTAAAATGAAACTTTTTAACAGCCCTGAAAAATGCATGAAACTGGAGTGACTGTACTTAGTCTTGGGATGAACTAACTGTTCCTAGGTCTGTTATGCACCAAGGTGTACTGCATTTATGTAACCAAGGTTCTACTTTAAGAGTACTGACCTTACATAGGTTTTTTCATGTGCTGATTCGCTTCAACTTGTTAGAGATGAAAGCTGTAAATGATGCTACAGTTAGTGCAAACAATAAAAATAAGATTTTTTTTAAACATACTCAGTGTGCTTTCTTAAAATTTTAAATGGTGCTACTTGTATAAAGTCATGGTATTTGATACTTGCTTCTTAAGAGATTATTGGTAGAATGTGTAAGAGAAGTTACAGGTCTGAGTCATTACTTTCCCACTGTGAACATGTTTTCATTAGTATTAATACTTTCAATGTTACTACAATTATGAGTTTCAGCCAGCAGCAAAAAAAAGAGTAGAGAAATAAGAGAGTAATGTAAGAATACATTTCTAAACATAGCAGATTAGAAGTGTTCATCTGTGATGCATCTGCAGAGCTCAGTGCTATTAGGATCTGTTAGTGGTAATATTAATGTTTGGGTTCAGTAAATATTCTGAAAGGTAACTCATATCTATGCACTTGGGCACTTGTCTCATCAAAACACAAAGCAAGACCTAATAGCCTGTTGTCAGAGATTACAACACATTTATATTGAGATTATTTTTTAGCAATGATCACTTTTGTTCCCAAGTGAGCTTCGCAGCAGGGATATAACTGGAAAAACTTCGTATCACAGAAACTAGTGCTGTATATTTGCCGTTAAACAGTTTCTACAAGGTGTTGTTACACTTAAGTATTTCTCCAGCTTTACTCACAGATTTGTAATTCTCACTTCATAATTCCAGATCGTGACTGTCCAATCACTAAACTTGGTGCCTTGTAGCAAAAAAGCTTGAAGTAATTTTCTGTCCCCAAATCTCTTGAAATATATGGAAAGGAACAGCAAGTAATGAACACGGGGTCAGCGCAGAAGGTTATATGTACAAGGCAGAAATATAGCTTGAATGCTGATAAAAATGCAAGCTCAAGCAAGTCTGTATTTTTGTCAGACATAAATCTAATGTGGTTAATCTTCATTTGGAACTTCGATTACCCTTGCCAGGCTCTTGTGCTGTGAGTAAAAAATGTGGTAGTACACCTATTCACTTATTTCTGTCATAGAAATTAATATAATTGTTTGATTTGCAAACATGCAAAATATATCAAAGTGATATTTGGGAACTATTTGGAAATGCTAAGGGGAGGTTGAGGGCTTTCTTGAGATATGTTTTTTAAATATTTGAAAACTCTTCTTTTGTATGATGCAAAATCCACACTGCAGAGTGAATATTTTGCAGTAGCGTCCACTATAATAGTGATGTAAGAAGGTAAAAGTGAGACAATATCTTGCATTGAGAGAAGTCTGGGAGAATCACCCATCATACTGATAGCAAGAGAAAAGAGGAGGTTTCATCAGTTCGAAGAAAATTTTCTCCTTTATGCCCTCTTCTTGATGTGCACTGAGCACAGAAGGCAGCAAAGGTGTCTGACACTTTGTAGAACTCTTGATGATACAGTCTAAAATACGTGGCCACCATTGATTCTGCTTAGTAGAGGAAGTCACATATACTTGCTAGTGCACTATTTCCTAGAGAACTCATATCTCCTTTCAGTAGAGCAGAGCTCTGCTGCACAGGGCTCCATGCTTGGCTGTGTTGTCTGGAATGACCACCTGAAGCTTCACTGTTGAAGTGGAAACTAGAAATCAAATAGTCTTGCACCAAAGGCCCCTCTTTCATGAAATGCTTTTTGTAAAATATCCAGGATCCAAAATACGTAGTTAAGCGCTAAATTTTATAAAAAGGTCAAGATTTTGGTACCAAGGTGATGCATGGTTTGGATTGCATTTCATTAGGCAACACTATGTACCCTCAGCAAGTCGGTTAACTATAATGATCTTGCTTTCAAAATGTTTAAAAATTGGATGTTAACTGAAATACCCCACCTTAGTGTAACAGCGCAGTGATTGTATCAGCTACATTACCATTTAATTGTGTTTAGCACTAGAAATGTACAGTCGTGACATTTCAGTTACCTTCTTGGTATGAAAGTGCTATTCATTAATGAAAGGATGAATTGAGAAGTGTTAGTGGTGAGTTTAATGCAATCTTCAAGTACCTTGTGAATGAATGAAACCTGCTGTTTTATTCATTTTAGGTTAACCTGTTAGTTCCCATATACATAAGTACCTCAGGAAATCTGCTCAAGTGGAGATAGAATTTGTCTTTATTTTCTTGACAGAGGAACAGCAGGCAAAAATATTTGTCTGGATTCCTGCAACCAGGGAGATTCCTGGTATCCAGGCCTGCTGCTGCTACTACTAATTCAGTGCAATGTGAGGTAGTCCACCTGCCTCAAGATTCTCATGTTTAGGTTCCCACAGAAGCATCATGTGTATTTGCTACTTTGACAAGGTAAGCCTCCAAGAAAAGCAAAATTACGCATTTGGAGAACCTGTGTATAAAAGAATGTGTATTCAACACACATAGTGAAGAGCCAAGAAAAACTGGAGTGAGTCTAATGGAGAGCCACCAGGATGGTCAGGACTGGAGCACATTCCTGTGAGGAAAGACCAAGGGAATGGGTCTTGTTGAGCCTGGAGAAGGCTTTAGGGGGGACGTAACAGCCACCCCCCGAATACATTTGAGGAGGCTATAGAGAATACGGAGCTAGGCTCTTCATTGACTTGTGTGATAGGAGAAAGAGATCATGGTCACAAATTGATACAGGTGAGGTTCTAACTCGGTGTAAGGAAAAACATTCACTGTAAGGAGAACAAACACAGGAGCAGCTTCTCCAAGAGCGGCTCTGGAATCTCCATCTGTGGAGCTTTTCAAGACCAACTGGCCAAAGTTTAAGCAACATAGTCTCAATGCACTGTGACCCTGCTTTGAGCAGGAGGTTGGACTACAAACCTTCTGGTGCCTTCTGTACTGAATGATTCTGTGATTTACAATGGAAACACAGAAGAAAGCTTAAAAGTTCTGGTTATTTAATAATGAACACCTCTGTTAGCATCTGTGTCTCCTTAAAGTGCAAAAAATGCTCTTGGATCAGCCATTCTAACTATATCAAATTGAACAAGAGACGATTTTCTTAAGTATGTTCTGATGGCAGATCCCATCATTAATGTATCATCTTGGATAACTTGATGTTCAGTGTCTCTGTCTTTCGGTACATATTTTTATTTAGCCTGGTTTTGACAGCAGAGGAAATCAACAAGAAATTCAGGTGTTAACACTGAACATCAGGTCTGTTTGCCTTAAAATCAAGCATCAGGAACTAAGAAAATCATCTTTTGCAGTGTGTAGGTTATCTGTGTTGAAGTAGACCAAATCCGCACCTCAATAATAATGTTGCTTAGTCTGCCTGTAAATCACCTCAACTACGCAGTAGTGCACTCTGGTGTTTTCTGAGAGAATTGTTGAGGTATGTTGTCTGGTCATTTTTGCATGGTTTGCAGTCTTACATTTTGCATTCTTGGTTTTTCAGTAGGTGTCGTAGCTGATATGGCATGGATTTTAGGGACAGAGATCTTCCACAAAAATAAGAAGACAAAGGAAAAACTAAAATTTCCCTAAGTTGCGCATTGCCAT